GGTGAGTGTGCCCTCGGCACGGACGTCCTTGAGGACAGATAGGAGGAGTTCCACTGCCTTGCTGCTGCTTTGCCCCGTCTCGTGTCCTTGCTAGTTGCCCCTGAGGGAGACCCGGATGCACCAGACATCCCGACCCCACGCTCTTACGCTGAGGCGATGGCGGGTCCCTACTCCTCTCAGTGGCAGACAGCCATGGACGCAGAGATGGCTTCCTGGAAGTCCACAGGCACCTACGTAGACGAGGTTCCCCCTCCTGGGGCGAACATCGTCAGTGGCATGTGGATTTTCAGGGTGAAGCGGCCGCCGGGTTCTCCGCCTGTCTTCAAGGCGCGCTACGTGGCTCGAGGCTTCAGTCAGCGAGAGGGAGTAGACTTCTTTCAGACCTTCTCCCCCACCCCGAAGATGACTACTCTTCGGGTGCTGCTGCACATAGCCACTCACCGCGACTACGAGCTTCACTCTCTTGACTTCAGCACTGCTTTCTTGCAGGGCAGCCTGCACGAGGAGATCTGGCTGCGCCGCCCCCCTGGCTTCACTGGGTCAGTTCCTCCTGGCACCCAGTGGAGGCTTCAGCGGCCGGTCTACGGTCTCCGCCAGGCGCCACGTGAGTGGCACGACACACTGAGGACGACACTTGCGGCTCTTGGGTTCGCTCCCTCTACTGCTGACCCGTCGCTGTTTCTACGCACCGACACCTCGCTGCCGCCGTTCTACATCCTCGTGTACGTCGACGACTTGGTCTTTGCCACTGCTGACACCGCGGCACTCGCCCACGTGAAGTCGGAGCTGCAGAGGAGACACACGTGCACAGACCTGGGTGAGCTGACGAGCTATCTTGGCTTGCGGATCACCCGGGACAGAGCACGGCGCACCATCACCCTGACTCAGTCACACATGGTGCAGCAAGTTCTCCAGCGCTTCCGCTTCACGTACTCCTCGCCTCAGTCCACTCCTCTGCCTACCGGTCACTCGCTCTCAGCTCTGCCTTCGGATGAGTCCGTAGAGCCGAGTGGCCCGTATCCAGAGCTTGTGGGCTGCCTCATGTACCTGATGACCTGCACTCGACCTGACCTTGCATACCCTCTTAGCATCCTAGCACGCTATGTCGCTCCTGGCCGTCACCGGAAGGAGCACATGGATGCTGCTAAGAGGGTGTTGCGCTACTTGTGCAGTACGTCAGGCATGGGGCTTGTGCTTGGAGGGCGAGACCGGGTTGTTCTCACAGGGCACTCAGACGCTTCTTGGGCAGACGACCAGGCTACTCAGCGGTCGTCCCAGGGTTACACCTTCAGCCTTGGCTCTGGCTCAGTTTCTTGGCGTTCTACTCGCTCTTCTTCTGTTCTCAGCTCCAGTTGTGAGGCTGAGATCTACGCCACAGCCATGGCTGCTCAGGAGCTACGCTGGCTGACCTACCTGCTGACCGACCTCGGAGAGCGGCCTCGTTCTCCTCCAGTGCTGTACGTCGACAACAAGGCTGCCATTGCCTTGTGTGAGGAGCACAGACTGGAGCACAGAACGAAGCACATCGCTCTGCGGTACTTCCTTGCTCGAGAGCTGCAGCAGCGTGGTCAGCTTTGTCTGCGTTACGTGGCCACGGAGGCCAACACTGCTGATGTGTTCACCAAGGTGCTTCAGCCTTGTGACCATCAGCGCTTTTGCACTCTGCTAGGCCTTGTACCTACTGGGCCTCACTTGCTTACCTCTTGACCTTGCTTGTACTGTGATCACTATATATATATGCCTACTTGTTTACTTTTGCTAGGTTGTGATCACTGTATCTCTTGCTTTGTTATAAACCTGCATGTGAACTGGTCTTGTGACCGCTTGCTTGTGCTCGGAATTTGTGTGGAATCCTTGAGATCCACCCTGAGCTTGCTTTGCTTTGCTTTGACTGGTCTTGTGACCCTGTGGTTGTCTCCCACTGCGCCTATGGGGGTGTGTCAAACATTGTATGTTTATATTGTGTAGGCTGTAGTGGGTTACACCTTAGGGGGTACACAAAGTTAGGGTTTCCTACTTGTACCAAACTCTGTGCTAGTTCATTTCATTCCTGCTCAGTTATTCTGACAGTTTTTAGGAGCAGCGTGCGGTGGGAATCGCCGGTTGTGCCCTGAGCCGAGAACTGCAGCACGAAGACTCCGTCGTCGTCGATCGCCTTTCCGATGTAAGAGTCATCATAAAAGAGCTCGAAGGTCTTCTCTTTGCGGTTGCCGCGAATGTCGATTCCGCATCGCATGAGTTGAGCTGACGAGAGCAGGTTGTATTGGAGATCTGGCGCGACGAGGACGTCTCCGATGTGAATGGTAAATTTCGTGTCATTCGCCTCGAGGTAGATCTCCCCAATCTCATGTGCCTTCATTTTTCCGTTGTTGGCTGCGGTGATTTCGCAGGGTCGTCGCATGCGCCGAGAGTTGCTGATGAACTTTGATGATCCCACCATGTGTTGCCCGCAGCAACTGTCGAGGTACCAGGTGTCCAGATCCTCGTGGCGCTGGCGGGCAAGGTTGGCGATCTTGGGCGTAATGATGCGATCGAAGTCGCCGGTGTACGGCGAGAGAGCGAAATATCTACTTGCGGGAATGCTCGGCGGCGATTCCGGAGTAGGAGGAGGAAGCTCGAAGTCAGGAGGGATGTCTGAAGGGCGAGTCGACCAGGTAGAAACCGTTGGGTCGTTATCTGAGCTGGGCGCAACGGGGGTGGGGTTGTCGGAAGGGAATGAAATTCGATCCCGATCCCAGTAGCGGAACCCTCTGCTGCGGCGAGCCATGCAGCTTATGACCGTCCCTTTCCCTTTGTCCTTTGCCGAAATGACCGCAGGGGACTGAGAAGTACTGGCGACCGAGGGAGGCGACACAGTGGAGGTTGTGGCAGCAGGCTTGGATTGAGCTGAGGGTTGCTGGTTGGAGGCGTTGCGCCGTTCATCAGCAGCCTGACGCTTGTAGCACTGGTCGATGGAGTGGCCAGACTTCTTGCAGTATTTGCAGAAAGCTCCCTTCTTTCCGCGTTGCTCCCCTTGGGATCCTCCTGTGTAGAAGGCTAATTTTTCCCGCTTGACATTCTTCTCGTTGTACAGGTCGATCTCCTTCTGCTCTGAAAGAAGCGTGGCGCACAGAGCCGACTCCGATATGGTTGCTCGGGCGCGAAGGAGTGACTGGCACTGACGCCAGTCGGGGCCAAGGCCTGAAATGACCATTGAGATGAACATGTCGTCGGGGACAGAACCACCGCACTTCTTGACTTGATCGCGCAGATTGCGGCACCGATTAACATACGGTCCCGCTTTCTCCCCTTGCTTCATTTTAACCGAAGTTAGTTGACTGAGCAGGCGACTCATAGTAACTGGATCTGTTGCCATGTATGAGTTGCGCAGGTGTTCCCAGGATGCGTGCGCGGGAGCCCACTCCGTCTTGTACGGACGAATGCCGAGCTGCTCTTCTTGTGAGAGATTGCGAAGGAGAGCGGTGTACGCGAGAAGTGATTCGTGGTAGTACTGATGCTTCTCCTGGATGGTGCCTTCCGAGGGAAAAGGCAGACTTCCGTCGTAGTACATCCAGATCTGAGCGGTTGTCGCAAGAAGCTCGAATTCGAAACTCCACGTGTAAAAATCCTTTCCGTGAGGTCTTCAATTTTGAAGTCAGTACAAATTTGGTTTGCATTGAAGCGATGTCTGACTGCGACCGTTGTGGGTTGTCTTGTGCAGGAGCTGACCCTTGACGATTGTCAAAGGTGAAGGATCTCTCGGAGTTGACGCGGCGGTCTTCTCCAGGGAGAGGAAGTCCAGCAACGCCACGTGCATAGCTTGAGCCATCAATGCTCATAGCCTGATGGCTTTCGAGAGCGTTGATGCGTGCAACTAGCTGCTCAACGACAGCGGCGCTGACGGAGGTCACCGCTGATGGCGCGTTAGTAGTTGCTGGTGGTGGGCCCGGTGAGTCTGCAGTAGCTTTCCCTTCAGGAGCCATAGTGTTGCAGACCTTAGGATGTGATAGTTGATTTTATGAAAGGATTGTTCTAGGAAGAACGAGGGCTTGACAGATCCTATAATCCACTCTAGCTCTCATACCATGCTGATACAACCAAAGGATCAGTGGATAGGATAGAATGTGTTAAGCCTGAAAGGAGACAGTGAAGTCTCTGTAGTGACCTTGTTGAGTAATAGTTGAAAGAGAACAAGATGATTAGAAGGTAGGAGTACAAGAAATTAAATAGCGAACTATCTAGCCATGTACTCTGAGGGGTACATTCCCTTATTAACTGTATTACATAGCTACAGTAACCACGACTATTGCTATTCTCGACAGTTACCGTGTTGCAGTCTGTTAACTGTCGCGTGGTTGCTGGATCGTCAAGGGTCACGACCGTTGACTATCTTTAGACGGTTGACCTTCGGGTGACCCTCGAGATTCCGCGTGCTCTATATGAGCTAATGCGGTACTAGTACAGAGGAGCATCTTCGGGAATGCCTTTATAACCTTTCGGTTATTCCAACAACACTCAACACCATTTTTTTCGAAGGTGCACTGCAGCTACAGTCTGATTTCGCAGCTGTTTCGAGGGGGGCATTTTTTGGGGGCCCGTTAAAAATGGCCAAAATGCCCAAAATGCCCACAATGCCTTCCAAACTGGGCCCAAGTGAGGGCGACAACGGGAGTGGCGACAACGATGTGCCATGTGAAGGGGGAGAGCAATTTCCTACAGCTCGATCTGTTATCCACATTCAATATCAGAACGACCAGGAGGTTTCATTTGGAGTGAAATATATCCACTCCAGTTATCTGCAGTGCTTTCTCCGTGTTCAACCTAAGCCCATCAATGGGGGCCACTATCAGGTCCCCTTTCAGCCCCTCCCCTCCCCTTCCCTAGAAAAACACCTGAAACAACATCTTGCGATTGTATGAGACCAATCTCGTGGCACCATGTGGTTGGTTTGAGATCCCATTCCCCTGTCTAGGTCCAGATTCCAGAAGCTCTGAAGCCCTGTTCCAGAAGCTCTGTGTTTCATGGCCCCACCTCCTCTCTCTCTACCACCACCTCTCTCTGTTCCACCACCTCTCTCTGTTCCACCACCTCTCTCTGTTCCACCACCTCTCTCTGTTCCACCACCTCTCTCTGTTCCACCACCTCTCTCTGTTCCACCACCTCTCTCTGTTCCACCACCTCTCTCTGTTCCACCTCCTCTCTCTGTTCCACCTCCTCTCTCTGTTCCACCTCCTCTCTCTGTTCCACCTCCTCTCTCTGTTCCACCTCCTCTCTCTGTTCCACCTCCTCTCTCTGTTCCACCACCTCTCTCTGTTCCACCACCTCTCTCTGTTCCACCACCTCTCTCTGTTCCACCTCCTCTCTCTGTTCCACCTCCTCTCTCTGTTCCACCTCCTCTCTCTGTTCCACCTCCTCTCTCTGTTCCACCTCCTCTCTCTGTTCCACCTCCTCTCTCTGTTCCACCTCCTCTCTCTGTTCCACCTCCTCTCTCTGTTCCACCTCCTCTCTCTGTTCCACCTCCTCTCTCTGTTCCACCACCTCTCTCTGTTCCACCACCTCTCTCTGTTCCACCACCTCTCTCTGTTCCACCACCTCTCTCTGTTCCACCACCTCTCTCTGTTCCACCACCTCTCTCTGTTCCACCACCTCTCTCTGTTCCACCTCCTCTCTCTGTTCCACCTCCTCTCTCTGTTCCACCTCCTCTCTCTGTTCCACCTCCTCTCTCTGTTCCACCTCCTCTCTCTGTTCCACCACCTCTCTCTGTTCCACCACCTCTCTCTGTTCCACCACCTCTCTCTGTTCCACCTCCTCTCTCTGTTCCACCTCCTCTCTCTGTTCCACCTCCTCTCTCTGTTCCACCTCCTCTCTCTGTTCCACCTCCTCTCTCTGTTCCACCTCCTCTCTCTGTTCCACCTCCTCTCTCTGTTCCACCTCCTCTCTCTGTTCCACCTCCTCTCTCTGTTCCACCTCCTCTCTCTGTTCCACCTCCTCTCTCTGTTCCACCACCTCTCTCTGTGTGCCACGACCCCTCTCTCTGAACCACAAAATCCCATCCCTACTAGCGGTGGCGGCTTTCCCTAGCACCACCACCACCAGCAGCACCACTGCCACCGCCGCTGCCACCACCACTGCTACCACGATTACGATCCCCTGTGCTGCTGCCCCCGCCACCAGCACCACCACTGCCACCACCACCATCACTGCTGCCTTTCCCATAACCACGATCACGACCCCCTGTGCCACCACCACTACCACCACCGCCACTGCCACCACCGCCACCACCGCCACTGCCACGATCTCGGTCCCGCCCCCCTGTGCCGCCGCCATTGCCCCTGTTCCTGCCCGCCCCACCCCGTTTCCCTCGGTTCGCAAATTCCTGATCCTGTGAACGCCTTCCCATTGGTGGACTCATCATCACTCCCTGGGGCTTTCCCAATATGCCGTCTCCTCTATTTCCTTCTGCCCAGCCTGCGTTTCCTCCTGGCCCGCCTTCTGCCCGAGCCATACTTCCCTCCGCCCGACCAATAATTCCGTCTGCCCGGCCGCCATAGGCACTGCCCCCACTCATATAAATCTCAGTAGGAGGAGCAGGGGCGGGCACGGGCGCATAAGAGGGTGCAGGCAGGTTCGAGTAACCACCGCTTACAACCCCACCAGGACCACCCGCATTACCACCATAACCATTCCCAAAACCACCGCTCCCTGTGTTACCGCTCCCCATGCCACCAGTATACCCGCCAGACACTGGCTCTGGTCCTCTTGCAGGGTAACCCTGGCCAGGTTGCATCGTGGTGGTGGTAGTGTTATCAACATAGTAAGATAGACCACCAGGCCCCATGAGTCCACTGGGTCCGCTAGTGCTGCCCGTGAGCTGCTCATTGGTGTTGACGAACGGCTCCATGTTACGGCTACCAGCGTACGGCTGGCCTGGTAACCCTACTTCTGCGGACGCACCCCTTGCGTCGACCCTTGTGTCGTAAGTGGGAGGTGGTCCACGGGGGAGGGGAGGAGCATTTGGAGTAGAAACAGGAGCAGCGGCAAGCCAAGGGGGAGTAGAGACGGATGAACCACCACCAGTAGAAGCACCACCACTGTAGGGAGCATTCACACCATACCCCCCAGGTCCAGGGTTTGCAGTAGTGCCATAGGAGCCTTGTGATCGAACTCCCTCCACACTGCCCCCAGCAGCAGCAGGGGCGCCATAGGACCCTCCCACTCCACTGTACACCTGAACAGGCTCATACTGCTGCAAAACACCTGAGGTTTCACCTGAAATTTTCCCCTGCTGCTGCTGCTGCTGTGGTGGTGGCTGCGGCTGCCCCACAGGCTGCCCAGAAAGTCTTACAACTTGCTGAGTCAACATCCCATCCTGCCCCACAACAAATATTTGCTGCCCCCCTGACTCTCCTTGCAGTGTCATCCCCCCTTGCTGCTGCATACCCTGCTGCATCCCCTGCTGACCCCCCTTATGCAATCCCCCTCCTTGCACCCCTCCCTGCTGTATCCCCCGCATCCCCCCCTGCTGCATCCCCCCCTGCTGCATCCCCCCCTGCTGCATCCCCCCCTGCTGCATCCCCCCCTGCTGCATCCCCCCCTGCTGAATCCTCCCCTGCTGCAATCCCTGCACTCCCCCTTGCCCACCCCCCTGCTGAACTCCCCCCTGCGGCAGCGTCACCCCATCCTGCCCCACCAGCCGGCCATCACTGGCACTCACTAGAATCAGCTGCTCGCCCCTCGCTGCTGCAGCCGCTGCTGCTGCCGCTGGAATCGCCACATACACCACACCCCCTGCTCCCGCCCCTCCCACTCCTCCCGCAATTCCTCCCACCATTCCTCCCGTTGTTCCTCCCCCCGTCCCTCCCCCCATCTCTCCACCCACCACTCCGCCCATCCCTCCATCCATTGCTCCATCCATCCCTCCCCCCACCCTTCCCCCCATCCCTCCCCCCATCCCTCCCCCCATTCCTCCTCCCATCCCTCCACCACTCACCACTCCTCCCACACCATCTACGCTCCCTGCCATTCCGGCCCCACCCATTAAACTGCCTTGCATAATCCCCCCTTGCATGATAGGACCAGAAGGACCGGCAGAACCATACACAGCAGAACCACCACCGGCAGCAGCAGGAGCAGCAGGAGCGGGAGCAGGAGAAGCAGCGGCGACGCCTAGGGGAAAGCCAGGGCCCGACACAACAGCACCAGCAGCACCACCACCAACAATAACAGCACCAGCACCACTAGCACCAGCAGGAGCAGGAGCCTGCTGAATGTTGGACACACCCATACCACCCTGCCCATACATCTGACCCCCACTACCAACCCCCATACTCATCCCCATGCCCATCCCCGTATCCGTCCCCCCACCCATTCCCACATCCCCAGAGCTCACAGCCACACCCCCATAGGACGTGCCCCCATATCCTGCCCCGCCATAAGCCGGCCCATTATAAGGCATACCGCCATACGGCATGTTTGAGACAGGAGCGGGAGCAGGGGGCAGGGGATTATAAGGGGGGATCGGCTTAGGCGGGGTGGCAGGAACAGTCATCACCAGTCTGGCCTCCGGCTTTGTACCGCTGCCCTCCATATAATCACGGTCGTTTCTGCTTGGGAGATAATTTCCTCCTTGCCGATCCCTGAAATCACGGTCGTTTCTGTCACGCTCGTCGTTGTCACGGCCTCTCTTGCTCCCTGGGCTGCCGAGCTCGTTATGATCACGACCCCTCTTGTCACCACCACCGTGACCATAGCCTCTTTTTTCGTCCCTTCCCCACCGCTCCCGCTCCCGCTCCCTCTCCCTATCCCTATCCATCTCGCTCCTCCCCCGGTCCCTCTCATCCCTGTCCCTCTCCTCCCGTCCCCGGCCTCCGTCCCTCCTCTCATCCCTCTCGCCCCGCCCAATCCTGTCTCTTAAGTCACGCCTGAAGTTGAAAATCAAAGAACAAAGAGTTCCGAAAGACCCCCAACCCAATGTAAATACAACCCCCAGAGAGAACAGAAGGCAGGGGACCAGGACAAAAGGGGGGCTGTCAGTGGGAGAGAAATGGATGGAAGGAGGGGAAGGCACGTGTCATGAGGTTCTTTTTGAGACGTCTCAAACAAGGCGGGCAGTCAGTGCGAGAGAAAAGGCGGGCAGTCAGTGCGCGAGAAAAGGATGGAAGGAGGGGAAGGGGAGAAGGCAGGGGAGAGAGAGCTGAGGATGTGTTTTGAGTTGAATCAAAACACAGAGAGAAATGGTTGGAAAGGGGGGAAGGGGAGTAGGTAGGGAAGAGAGATAAGGATGGAATAGGCCAAGCATGGCTCAGGAAATCTGTGCCAAGTGGCAGGTGCTTCCTTGTGGCTAATCAGAAGAAAAAATAGCCACAAGATACTTGAAAACAGGAAGGATGGAATGAGACACCACTTGTCGTTATAATCCATCCCATCCCATCCCATCCCATCCCATCCCATCCCATCCCGTCCCGTCCCGTCCCGTCCCGTCCCGTCCCGTCCCGTCCCGTCCCGTCCCATCCCATCCCATCCCATCCCATCCCATCCCATCCCATCCCATCCCATCCCGTCCCATCCCATCCCAGCCCATGTGACTTCACCTTATCACATGCCACCCCACCCCGCTTCACCACTCCTCATCTCATTCCATGCCTTCACACCTCACCTAGGCGAGTGCTGCCGGGAGGGGGGAGACGAGTGGCGCTTGTCCCACCTGCGCTGCTTCTCATGCTGCTCCCCACCTGCTCCCCCACCTGCACAAACAAGTGGACCCACAAGAGTGAAAATGAGAGGAGTGAAACGAGAGGAGTGCGAGTATGGACTCGGGGCCAAGCCAAGGTTGGCAACTGGTGACTCCCAACCACGCTGCCTCTCATGCTGATCTGCACCTGCACAAAGAAGTGGACCCACAGGAGTGAAAACGAGAGGAGTGAAACGAGAGGAGTGAAACGAGAGTAGTGAAACGAGAGGAGTGAAACGAGAGGAGTGCGAGCATGGACTCGCAACTGGTGCCAAGGTTGGCAACTGGTGACTCCCAACCACGCTGCCTCTCATGCTGATCCGCACCTGCGCCCACACCCGCATGGATGAGTGGAAGCAGAGGAGTGAAGGTAGGGGAGTGAAACCGGAAGGCTGAAACCAGCGAAGTGAGTGCAGAGGAGCGAAGGCAGAGGAGTAAAATCACTACAACACATGCCACTGCTGCTGGACATACGATTGCAACAGATGCCACCACTGCTACACATGCCACTGCGAAATATGCCACAGCACCACATGCCACTGCAACACATGCCACAGCACCACATGCCCAAGGTTCAAAATTTCGGCGAATTTTTCAATATTTGGGCAAAATATTCGCTGTCAAAACTTTCGCCCGAAATTTTCGGTTAATTTCGCCGAGGCTCGAGATTTAGCTTTCGGTGCAAAATTTCGGCGAATTTTTCGGCGAAATTTTCAAACCACGCTGAAGAAGTGAGCTGGCAAATGAGGATTGAATGGGGGTCGACTGGATATCTAGATATAGGAAAGCCCCCCTCAGCCCAGCTGTGAAATTGGGTGGGTTGGGTTTTCTAGATCCAAAGCGGTAATACGCGGTTAAGAGCTAGAAATAGGTTGGATGCACAAAATGTGACGATTTGCAGTGCCCATCCCATCACCTTGCAGAATCCGTCAGTAGTACTAGTTAAAATCACCTCTCTCTCAACCTCAGGCTTCTGCACCACTGCGTCATGCCTAGATCTCCCTGTCCCGTGTGTTTGAAGTGGATACTGGAGTCACACATTGTTTCTGGTCCTCCCCACCCATTCTTTAAATTTATTTTATTTTCCTCGTGTCCTAACAAAATTTCGCCGAAATATTCAAAATTCAAGCGAAATTTTCGGGCGAAACTTTCGAAGCGAAATTTTCAACCTTGCACATGCCACTGCAACACATGCCACAGCACCACATGCCACTGCAACACATGCCACAGCACCACATGCCACTGCAACACATGCCACAGCACCACATGCCACTGCAACACATGCCACTACATCACATGCCACTGCAACACATGCCACTACATCACATGCAAGCTATACAAGCAGCCTCATCCGCAATATGTGGGCAGTCCTTGAACAGAAATGTCCAGGTTCATTGAACCAGAGCACACTTGTGCATGTGACCAGGTTCATTGTCCCCAAAGCAGACTCACCAGCAATCTGCAGGCAGTCCTTGAGCACATGTCCAGATGCATTGCACCCGAAGCACTTGACACCACTCGCCGCCGCCTCTGCTATCCCAGCAGCAGCACCAGGAATCATCCCACCAGCAGCCGAATCAGAGATCACCCCAGATCCAGTCGGGCCCACGCCAGGCTTGGGAGACAGCATGGCGGGGCGGTTTGGGCAGTGCTTGTGCAGATGCCCCGGCTGCTTGCACCCGAAGCACACCACCTGCGAGTGATGCTGCCTCTGCCTCTGCCTCTCCGGGCACTCGGTGGAGCGATGCCCTTCCTGCCCGCAGGTGAAGCAGCGCGGTGGGTTGGACGGCTGGTTGGGCTGTGGGGGGAAAGGAGATGGATGGGAAAGGCGGGGAGTAAGATGCGCATGAGCTGCAAGTGACTTTTGACTCGACTCTTATCATGCGCATGAGCTGCAGCAAGTGCGTGCTTGTTCTTGTGCGGGCAATCCGTTCCTTGGCGAGATGCCTGCCTTTTGAGGCGCCTCAAAAGGAGACGGATGGGAAAGACCGGAAGTAAGATGCGCATGAGCTGCAAGTGGCTTTTGAGTCGACTCTTGAGATGCGCTTGAGCTACAGCAAGTGCTTGTGCTTCTGCGGGCAATCCTTTCCTTGGAGAGATGACACGTGAAGTAAGAGGGTGATGCCCCTGTCAACCACATCTCTCCACGCATGTGCTTCTGTGGCCAATCCTTTCCTTGGAGAAATGCCCCCCTGCCGCTCGCAGGTGAAGGTGAAGCGGCGCGGTGGGATGCCTCGCCCTACCTTGAACGATTGTCCTCATTTTTTTAGTCAACAAATTTATCCGCAATTAGCGTCGCCCCACCCACCACAATGCCATCACAGCCTTCTATGTCCGCACTCTGGCAACACGTTAGCATCCACAACACACATTCACATACAAACAGCAATAGCAATCACACATATACCAACACGTAATCACATACATGTAGTAATAGTGGTCACACTTATGTCCACACACATACACCAATCACCTTACACATACATCATTCTCGTCTCGCCCCATCCACCACCATGCCATGCCATCGCATCACAAACAGTACAACAACATCCATCCACCACGCACATATCTGCTGCCACACCGCACACACACATACATACTCACACAGGAACCCCATAAATGATTCTCAACAATGACCCTAAGCACTCACTCCTTTCGACATCTCCACAATGATGCTCGCCCCGTCCACCACCATGCCATGCCATCACAGCGCTCTGTGTCGGCACTAGCAAACACACCAACATCCACGACTCGTATATCCACACCACACAATGACTGACTCCACAAAAAAAAGCACTCACTCCTTTCGACAGCACTCACAGCTGTTGAGGTAAGCAGTAGCAGCAAAACAACAACATCCACACAGTAACCCGGAAAAAAGCACTCACTCCTTTCGACATCTCCACAATGATTCTCGCCCCGTCCACCACCATTCCATGGCACTGCTGCTGCGCTTCCTTGGCATCTTGTGCATTGAAGAACTCCTGCCGATATAACACACAGCGGGGTTTGGGGCATAAGAAACAATTCTTTAGTAAACTCATAAGTCACCTCTGCTGCGCTTCCTTGGCATCCTGTGCATTAAAGAACTCCTGTCAATCGGACACACAGCGGGGTTTTGGGCATAAGGATGAGATTTTAGTGGACTCAAAAGTCACCTCTGCTGTGCATCCTTGGCATCTCGTGCATTCCCAAATTCCTGCCAATAGCAACACACAGCGGGGTTTTGGGGATAAGGAACCATTAGTGAAAATATGTGCTGGCTGGCTCCATACAGCACTAGACTGGGTAGATGGGTGTCTCTTGCTTCCTAAGCATGCTGCCAGGGGAATTCATTTCATGCAGCCCTTAACTTAACGCTTGCCAGCAAAACACGAAATGGACTTTAGGTTAGGGGACAAAGCGGATTGTTGTATTGTTAAAGATGAAAACGCCTGCAGCAAGCGGATTAAAACGCCTGCTTCCTTCGTGAAGGGGAATGGAGCAACTTGCCTTCTGGATGGATTTCGTGCCTCCTTTCCCCTCCACCACAACGTGGCATAGAGTTGAGCAGGTGGCCCGACCCGACCCGACCCGACCCGATTTGGCCGGGCCACACGGGCCCTCGGGTCGGGTCGGGTCGGGCCGGGCTCGGGCCAGAATCTTGAAACAGCTGGCCCGACCCGGGCCTACTGACTCGGGTCAAAGGGGACCCGGGTTCGGGTCGGGCCGGGTCGGGCCAGGCAGACCCGCCCCTTTAGGGGGAGGCTGGGGGTGTTCATCATGATTTGTACATTTTTATCACGCTGATTTGTACATCACCTGGCGGCCAACGCGAACCTATTTGAAATCGTGCAGCGGGTGCCGGTAAATGCGTCTATTACAGCGAAAACGCCACGGAAGTAGTGGGCTCGAAGGAAAGTAGAGGTTGCGCTTGAATTTAAGTACCCTAGAAACCACGAATTTGACCAGCGCGAAATGCACTAAGTGCAGCCAGAATCGTATATCTATCAATGTAACTGAAAGTAAGTGCATTCGTGGGGGAAAGCCTGAGATAGGAGGTAGTTTAAAGGAGGGTACTTAATACTCTAAGGCTAGGGGCTGCTGGCGTGGCGAATGTAAATCGAAGGGGAAAAAATCCCCTCGATCGATTTACATTTGGGCTAGGGTTTCGGCCCTAGCCCTGTCGAAATCGGGTCGCGCACCTGGCCCGACCCGATTTCGACATTTTAGACCCGAAATCGGGTCGGGTCAGGCCCGACCCGAGACCCGGCTCGGCTCGGCCCGAAATGGGCCCTCGGGTCGGGTCTTAACCCGGGTCGGGTCGGGTCGGCCCGCACGGGGCAGAGATTCAGAAACTTTGACCCGACCCGGGCAAAACCACGGGTCTGGTCGGGTCGGCCCGACCCGAGCGGGGCACCTGCTCATGTCTAACGTGGCACGGCACGGCACCTCACCTCTGCCATCCAGCCAGTGGGGGTGTGATGTGATTCAAAAGCGAGCATCCCGCAAATGGCACGTCAAGCTTTTGAGATGTCTCAAAACACGATGTTGGCACCTTACCTCTGCCATCCAGTGCATTTCAAAAGCGAGCAACCTGCAAATGGGCCGTGTTTTGAGACGAATCAAAATACGAAGCATCCTGCAGATGGGCCATCAAGCTGGCTGCAAATGAGACACCTTGCATTGTCCATCATGCAGTCCTTAGCCCTTCCTGCTTCTCACTATGGCACCAGTCTATCCCTTTCCTTCACACATCCCATCGAAACTTCTCCATTTTGGCGAATCCTGACGATATACCTTTTACTGTTGACGATGAAATTGACACTTTGAGACGTCTCAAAACATCACTTTTATCACGAGGTCAATGCTGACGACATAGTTCTTATCGCTGATGATGCAATTGAGACATGGCGCTGGCACAGCAGCTCTGCAAAATCACCTCAAATGCAAGGCTAGTCCACGCTTGAGCACTGCCCAAGCATGGTCATTTATTGCGATTGGGCGATCACATCAGTCCCCTAAACCTTAATCAGGTTCAGAAGCGAATCATACAGCCAGCTGACATTATCCGGATGTCGCGGGCCGAGCCAGTAGACAGACATTCTCCTCTTTGGCCGTTAGCTCATTACACCCTCATCATTTTCCTCCTCTCAACCTATGCCAAGCCAAGTTTGTCGGCTAATCATGTACACTAAATATGCCAATAACATATTTATCAGTATTCTCACCCACTCCATCAGCACTAACCACCATACCTCTGGTTGATGGAAAGAAGACCTCCGCAGCCCACCTGTCCGCTTCTGACAGCTTGCCCACTTTATCAGCATTGACCACCACACCATACCTCTGGGCGCTGGATTGCTGTCAAAAGGGGCGTATGCTATCTTCGTGGCAGGCAGGCACCAAGGACTTTGTCCTCCTCACTATGAAGGCGCCTCAAAAGATACCTCTGGGCGCTGGATTGCTGTCAAAAAGGGTGTATGCTATCGTATTGGCAGGCACCATGCTAGGCACCGCACCAAGGACTTTGTCCTCCTCACTATGAAGGCGCCTCAAAAGATACCTCTGGGCGCTGGATTGCTGTCAAAAAGGGTGTATGCTATCGTATTGGCAGGCACCATGCTAGGCACCGCACCAAGGACTTTGTCCTCTCTCACTATGAAGGCGCCTCAAAAGATACCTCTGACTTGCAGTCAATAGGGGTGTATGCTACCTTCGTGGCAGGCAGGCACCAAGGACTTTGTCCCCACCCTGATAGCCCACCAGCTCTCCTCCTCTTTGGCTTCATAAAATATCGTGAAGTGGACAGAATCAAGGCCTTCAAGGATAGGTCGAGGGCCGGTTTGATCTGAACCGACCCATCATGGGCCAACCCGGGTGTGATGAGTCTGTTTTTGAGTCGACTAAAAAAAGTCAAGGTCTTCAAGGATGGGTCAAGGGCCGGTATCATTTGAACCGAACCATCATAGGCCAATCCGGGCTTGTCTGCCAATGTAGACCATGAATTGGACGAGTTGCTGCTGTGGTTTGGACAGACAACAGGGGGGGCGGGGGGGGAAGCGACCACGATGAGCACAGGAGGAGGGGACTGTGGTTCAAGAAGACACCATGAGGTGGACGGATTGGCTCTGTGATTCCGACGAACGTCGGTGAAGCCACCACCCACCATGGTGTTTGCACGAGGGGAGATTGTGGTTCGACCGCCGTGCCACGGTGCCACCGTCCCACCCACCCACCGAGCTGCCGTGCCGCTGTGCTGCTGTGCCCCCGCCCCGCTGTACTTCCATGCCACCATGTCGCTCTTGCCGGCGTGCCTTGAGGTTAGTTTTGAGGCGCCTCAAAACTAACCTCAATGCCGCTGTGCTGCTGTGGCCCCGCCCCGCTGTACTTCTATGCCACCATGTCGCTCTTGCCGGCGCGCCTTCGTGCTGCTGTGATGCCGCCGACAAAGAGAATCAAAGGATGACTAGAATCGCGGTTCGGACAAAGAGTGGCGAGACGGCAATGAAGAGTTTGGTTCAGAAGAGGGATGTCGAAGAAGAGACCACACGACAGACAAGTGAAGGCTGCGATTTAGTAAGGGCTGGTGAAGAGACAATGCAGTAGACGAGGTGAGTCACTGGTTTTCAGGGTGGATAAAATACCCTGAGGTACACGCGCGACTGCGATTTGATGAGGAGTGGCAACGAGATGATGGAAAGTCGACAACCGGAAATTGTGGTTTGGGTGAAGGCGACAAGGGGAGCCAGATTCAGGTGAAGGCTGCGGTTCGGGTTTTTTTTTTTTTTTTTTTTTAGTAAACTCAAAAATCACGTGTTATGAGTGTGCTAAAGCAATTCGGATGAAGATTGAGGCTTGGATATTCGTTTCAAACCTTTTCGATTCTTTTAAAGGGCGTTTGGAAAAAGGTCAACTTACAACAAGAAAAAATAAGGGCGTGTTACATTTTCTCACATCCATGGTCCGTACTGTGGGCCGTCCGGACATTTGTAGGGTAACTCGTTTCGTAATGCATTGCGAAAGTT